CGCCGCGGCGCGGGGGGGCCGCAGAAGGCCGTAACGGCCGGCGGGCTCCGTAGCGGCTCCCAGCGCGGGGGCCTGAGGAGAAGGCGGGAGGAGCAGCGGTATCCGAGGCCGACCTTGGTCATTAGGGGAAACGAAAGCGGAGCGGGTAGAAACCCCTCTCTTCCTACACCAGGCTCGTAGAACCAGACTAGTGCATGCATGAGGAGGGGTCTAAGGTCCCAATAAATATATCGATAAATAAAATTAAAAAAAAGAAAGCTGAAAGAATAGAGGAGGAGAAGAAAGAGATACGTGTCCTGCCACCCTCTGCCAGGGAAGGGTAACTCAGTCCTGCTGCTGCTTTTATGTGTGGCTGTGGGGAACTCCAACTGCCTTTTTTTTAATGAAAAAGAAATGGTTAAGGTAATTCCAAGGAGTGTGCAGTGTGCATGCCCTATTAGAGATAATACTTGCTCCTGCTACCCTGCAGGAGTTGCAGCCCAGCTTCCTCTTGGCCCTGCCTTAAAGCCACTACATGGAGCCCCTGTCTGGTGCATGAGGTCAGCTCACAGCACATCCCAACTTCCCCCAGGCTGGTGAAGGCTTATAACTAAAATACAATTGGTAGCACCAGGACCTGTTCCAAAAGAAAATACCAGGAAGATGCCAACACTATGAAAATACAACTCACAGTTCAAATTGCTCTTTTCTCTCCAGTCAGTCACACTCTCGTGAATGCACAAAATCCAAAGACCCTGAACAGGCAGCCTGAACATGGAGACCTTAAATTAAAAGCAATCCATAGCATAAAGAAACTCCCGACAGAGATTACTAAGATGCTAAACCCCAACTAAGGGCAAATACACATCAAGGCATTATAATCCTCCCCTAGTCATCAAGTTTTAAAGTATAGAGACAATTACTTGTTATTAACATGCTTATGAAGTTAGTAAAGAACAGTTTAATTACAGATTTTTGTCAAATTTCTTTGTCATGTCTTTTGTTGCTTGGTGTGTAATCATAACTTTTTAAATTAATATTCTTTAGATGACTTTTGTTTAATAAATAAACACTAAAATACCACAAATAAGAGCTACTCTAGAATATACTGTTAGCTGCATAGCAACTACATTAGTAGGCACTGCTACACATATCAACACTATAAATTTGATAGAAAAAAATACTATATATTTATTTCAATAATTTCTTAGTGCAATGGTGACAATATTCAAGATAGTTTACCACATAAACCTACAAGAAGGTATTCATGTGCTCTTTAGATTTGAGTACTCTCAAGATAATATTGAATTTAAAATTACAGTGCATGTTAGCAAAATTAGTATTCTATGCAAAGTAAACAATACTGAGTTAATTTGCAGTGCTGAGTCATAAACATTCACAAGCCTGTGTTTTAGCTCTGTCTTCAAAAAAATTCTAAAAATAATGCCATAAGAAGACCAAAAGGTTTTTCAAATTTAATACTTATAACCACAAACCAAGAACAATTTGGCAACAGAAACAGTCTGTAGCTTGTCAGACTTCGCTTGTCTCTAATTTAAAGCAAGGCACCAGATGTGTATCTAGCAATAACATTTATCCATGGGGAAAAAAAAGCTTTATGTCTCTGATAGAAATCCTTGAAGAAAGGAGATTCTGTAATAAGTAGCTCTCCCACGGAAGAAAGTCAGACTACAGAAAATGCTTTTAGGTTTTATTTGCACAGTGTTGTGACTGAAAAGGCTCAACCACAACCCAGATTTATGTTACTTCATTATGGATGCTTCTTTCATTACACATGCAGACCTTTCTCATTCCAAAACTCCCCATCCTCCTTGGCGGTCAGTTCTTCACTGACCCTCCTTTCTCGAACCCCAAGGTTTACCTCTTACCATCAGGTGCAGCAATGAGAGTGACACAAGGCGAACAGAGAGGATCCCTTGCAAATCCCTTACTGCACAAATGGGCATTGGCACTAAGCCACCTGACCCCCTTGTGGGGTGGTCGTTCTTTGAAGGAAGGAGGATTTTTATGAGGTTGGTATAAACGTGGACTCGCTGAAAGAAGGGCATACATCTGCAAAGAGTTTTCTTAAGTAAGGCTTATTATTTTAGCATTTTTAAACTATAAATAAAAATGCTGTTCTATTTATCTACAATTTTATGAAGCTGCTGGGATTCCACATATACACAAGTATCTGCCTGTAATTTCCATGGTGTCCCTGCGTGTGCAGAGGGGTTGGACTACATGACCTCTAGAGGTCCCTTCCAACCTAATGATTCTGTGATTCTACCAGACTAGGACACTCGGCATCTTGTAATACAGCTTTTACTGCAGGAATGATGTGTTCTTATATATGCCATAGACTATATTAGTGTATAAATATCTTTCAAGTTCTTGGTTTTAGAAACAGACACAGGTAACACATCTGAATTCCTTTCTGTATTAGTGGTTGTTTTGAATAACAACAGATTATTTGATATGTTCAAATTCTATGCTTTCTGGCGAGATAAAACACCTATGGTGGAAGTAATTAGTTTTCAAACCTGATTTAAGGGATTTTTTTTGGGGAAAAAAAGTCAGAAAAAATGAGAAATCGAAGTAAAATCCTGCCAAAGAACCGAGGGCATAGGGGAAAATGTAATACCATGTGCTCTATTTGTTATGACACACAGGCAGGGGATTTGAAATGAGCAACAGAAAATAAAAGCATGACAGGTAAGTGTGGGAGTGATAAATGATAGATAAGCGGATAGAGTTTTAGAGAAGTATCTGACCAAAAGAGCCCATCAAAGCTACTTCTGTAGCTCTGAGCAAAATACCAGGGCCATCAGAACAGACACTTGTCAGTTACGTTTTCTGAAGAAAAGAGCAAAGGCCCACACAATTTCAGTTAATTTGAAAAGATGATGGTCGGTCAATACTGATAGAAGATATTTAATAAATTAGAGAGTTGAAATCTTTTTTTTTTTTCCAGGGGAGTGGTAGTGGTGCTTGAGCTCTCAGAGGATTTGGGTGGTTTGTTGGATTTTTTTTTTATTATTATAATTATTTATTTTTTAAATTTTCATCCATTTACTGCACAGAAACTCAAGAAAGTCAAGTTATCTGCATACACTCCACAAGTGCCTAAGTCCATGTACACACTAGCACCCAAGGGCAGCTGGAAAGAACCTCAAAGAGCATTTAATAGAATATCATTAAAATGGTAATCAATATCTTATCGTCCCTCTTCAAAACTGATGCAATTCACATTGCCTTTAATTGCAGAGGGAACTTAACAGGAAAAGGCTCAGCAACTATGGTGGATGCTGTAAAAATCTTCAAAAATAAACTATGGTATTAGTACAGATACTGATTTTATACCTAAAAAAAGAAAATTTGAGTGTCTACTTTATATTTTATGTTTATGATTTGTATTTTATATTCTAGATGTTATGATAATTTTGCTATTGCTTCCTGCCCTAGTAGGCTTAGATACATTGAAGTCAGAGGGGTAGTTGTTTTTAACACACATGAAGGCATTAGCCCATGCCCCATAGTCTAGAAACAGGAAAACATATTGTTTTGGCCTACTACATTTGGCATCATAATGCGACACTTGTTTAGTAAGCTGGCTTTTGTAAGTGCTTAGTGTTTCTTAATTTATGGGTGTACACAGCAGGTTACGCAACTAGAATACTTCAGCTAACCTCTCTTATTAAGAAGTCAACAAATGAACCAGATCAATCCTTTCCAGTTTCCATTAATACCAAAGGTTTCTTTTAAAGAGTTTAAATATGAACCCCCTGAGTGTCAGAGCAGTCTAGCTCTGGTCACCAACTGTCAAGATGGCAAGTCCCTCAGCTAGTCGTACAGACAGCACCAGCTACTCTGCTTGCTGCTGTTGCTGAAAATTACTGCCAAGGATGCTGAACCATAAATATACACTGTGGAAAATTGCTCATGTCAAAGACACTATTCATAAGTCCCATTCTTATGGGGAATAAGAATGTCCCATTCTTTGTACCTTTCCAGGTTGAGACCTATGCCCAAAGATACCCGGTTACTCCTTCAGCTGAAGCCAAGACACACAGAAGCATCCAACAGCCTGGTATTCTGTTCATCTGCACCCAAATCAACACAGTGCTTTTGTGGAGCACTTCATACACACTAGTGGCTGGATAAGAACTTTTTTTGTGGCAGTCACTGACAGCATAAGCATTTCTAAGTAATAGGAAGGACAACAGTAAATGAATCATGAGTTTATGAAAGGTTTGGTGCAACACAGATCCCCAGCTAACATAAGAAATAGAGGCCAATCTCCAAGGCTGGTAAGCTTCCAGAGTAGCTTTGCAAGACTGGACAAAAAAAAAAGTATATATACATACATACACGCACACAAATTGTTGTTGGTTCTACCCGGAATGACTTTTAACTTAATTGACTGTTGCAATCAGTAATAGCTACATTCAGTTTAATTGTGATAAAAATCTTGCTCACATAGTGCAGCGTGAAAGTTCTGGAGGGGCCCATTGCTCCCCATTTAGCTATATGGAGCAACAAATTCTAAATTACAGAATTACAATGGCAAGACTAACTTCTTTGTAAGCCCTATGTGCAGCATGATGTTGTGATTGTCATAGATGAATAGATCATTAAAAAAACTCTTTAACTCACACCTAACCAAAAGAGACTACTGAGCACAATGCTCTTTCTTCATCTTTTAAAATGTCCTTTTAAAAAAAAAATCCCAGCAGAAACACCTGTGCTTTTGCCCTTGCATGTTATGGGGCAACAGTGAACAAGTGACAGTGTGTTCAGCTGAACCTGTAAAGTATAAATGTCCCTCTGCTATTCCTCAGCCTACTAGTCTTGTAGTAGCTAAAGCTTTTGAGGAGATTTCTCGGTGCTTTCTTGAGTTAAGAAAAGCAGCCTTCTAGCAGGAATAAAATGGTCAAACTAAAAATTTAAAGAGCAGCATTCCCAACTGAGCACGGGGGTGACAGGGATGAAGGGCAGGCTGGAGGGGTGCAGGACAAGCAGCCTTTTGATGGCCCTCCCCCAAATTCCCCTCCTACCCATGGAGGGAAGAAAGAAACACACGTTTCAAATACTCCGAGATCAGCTTAACCCTCGGGCATGTGCCCACGTGAGCACAGGAACG